GGATGGCGGCACTAGGGCGATTTATTTTGGGATCCGCAGCTAGAAGTTTGTCATTCTTTAAGGTGTTAAAGAAGAACAAATCCTTGGTATGGACAACGTAATGTCAGCTCACGTTTAATCAATTGAAGGTTTATCTCGCCCATGTACCATTATTAGCGAAACCGGTGAAACATGAGTCCCTCTTCTTATACGTTGTATCAGGGCATGGGGTTGTCAGCTCGGTATCAGTACCAGTACAACAACATAAGCAATTTCATGTTTACTTCGTCAGCAAAGTCCTGCAAGGCGCGTGACAGAGGTATACTGAGATGGAAAAGGTTGCATACGCGGTCATGGAGTCAGCTCGAAAATTGAAGCCATATTTTTTATCACATAGAGTCATAGTGCGGACCAATAACCCTTTAAAACAGATGTTGAGTAACTTGGGAGTTTCGGGAAGAATGGTAAAGTTAGACGTGGAGTTAGGTCAGTACAAAGTAGAATTTCAACCTCGGATCTCTATTAAAGGGAAGGTCTTGGCTGATTTCATTCAAGAAACCACTCACGTGGGAGAAGAAGTCAAAAAAAAAGTATGGAGTGTTCACGTGGATGGCTCGACAACCGTAGGCGGTAGCGGCGTAGGAGTTATACTCACTAATACCTAGGGCGAGATGTTACAGTACGCGGTCGGGTTAGGCTTCAGAGCATCCAATAATAAACCCGAGTATGAGGCGATTAAAGAGGGGCTTAAGGTTGCTCTGAAACATGAGGCGAGGTTTGTTAAGGTGTTTTCTGACTCCTAGTTAGTGGTTCAACAAATTAATAGGATGTTCGATGTCAAGAACGAGCGTATGAGTCAATATGTGTCTCAAGTCGGCGAGATTATTGCTCAGTTCGACCAATGCGAGATAACTCAAATTCCTTGGAAGGATAATCAGAGGGCGGACTTTTTAGCCACGATGGCTAGTTCGGCAATGGCAACAGAGGAGCGACAAATCTCCTTGAGGGTTGAGCTAGGGGGCGAAATGAGGATAGCTGAAGTTTTGAGGATTGACACAGAAGTGGGAAGCCACTGTTAGCATCTAATGCGAGGTGAAAAGATGTCCTCCAAGAAGGAAGAGGAAAGAATAGCAACACG